GGGGGGGCGGGGGAGAAANGAGGCACTATCTGAAAGACATGGGCGGGGGGGGGGGCGGGGGAGAAATGGACGCCAAGCAGTATTCTTTGTCAAGGCATCTGTTTATTGAAGCAAGTTTCATGTCTTAAATACTCCTCAGAAAGGAGCTCGGGCAGGGGGAACTGAGGAAAGAGGGAAGGGAAGGAGGGGCTCAGTAGCTAGGCAACTAAGTGGGGCAGTTTGGCAGCTAAGCAGGGCAGTTGCAAGGTCAGTGGCTAGAACACCTGCTGTTAGTGATGAGCAGCAAGCCAGGAAGGCACTCTGTGGTGCTTTCCAAGCTTGAGTCTCCACGGTCAGCACATAATGTTGTGGCTAACTTTAAGTTTTCTGTCTCAAGATTTTTCCTTCAAGGCCCTGTGAGATGTGAGAAAGGAGAAGCCTGAAATAGCCCCTGACACACCACCACCACCAGAGGAAATCACTCTTAAGTGCAATCAGCTCAGCATAATGTGTTGTGAAGAAAATCTCCCTGTTTGTGGGTGCTCAGACTGTTGCGAATCAATTAGAATTATTTTACCTTAAAGAAAGATACTGTGTGTGGTTTTCTCAGGAGCAGAAAATAGTGCGGTGTTGAGTCCTAGTTAAGTAGAGATTGTTGAGGGATTATCTGCAGGCTGTACTGCCTTACACTGGATTCTTGATAAAAGCAGGATAAAATGGATTTTCCCTATTTAAATAAATATGGCAGACTCTAAGTAGCCTGTTTAGAAATGTTTTATGCACATGTAGGAGGCAGAATAGAAGCAAGGCATGCCATTCTTTTGAGCTACATGTAAATGTAAAACTGTGGTATAGATTTCTTTACAGGGAGATCCGGGTTCATCCCTTTGACATTTCCACATCACACCAAAGACTTTGCTGAAAAGTCAAGTCTTTTTCTTCATCCCAGAGAACTTTTTTTTTTTTTTACTGTCTGTAGTTTTAGTTCCTCGTCTATTTCTCTTTCTGAGTGCATCAGATCGATGGTGTAACTAAGCCCCCATCCTCCACGTCTCCACAGCGGACTCTTGCCAGCTGCATCTCTCCTACATTTCTGTTCAGCATTCTGATAGGATTGGATCCAGATGGCTTAGTGGTCTAATCTTGGTTGTGTTCGTTCTGCTACCTAGTTCTGTAAATGACATCCTTGTTTCAGTGATGTGTTACTCGAATTTCCATCGCTCTATCAATGTACGTGAGCTCATTAACTTACAAGGCGAAACAGTTTGCTTTGGACTCTCTAGTCGGTGTTATGATTTGCTGATCCTAACTGTCGGAGCCAGGAAATAACATTGTGAGGGAGTGTGTCATGAAGCAAAGCCACCCTCACTTAGGTGGCTAAACAATGAGTCAGTGAACAAAGAGCTTGAGAGGTTGGTGTGTCACAATCCCTGCAGAAGCACACCCTCCCTGATCCAAACACTTCCTTCTAGGTCCTGCTTGTAAAAAACTCCACCACCTTTCATCAGGGTCACCCTGAGGACTAAACTTTTAGTACATGGACCTTTTAGGGACCCTTGGGATCTAAGTGAAGCAGATGATCATGATTTTATCTGTCTGTCTATCATCTATCTATCTATCTATCTATCTATCTATCTATCTATCTATCTATCATCTATGTATCTACCCATCCACCTACCTACTTATTCATTCACTCACTCATTCATTCATTCATTCATTTTATTAGAATTCTTTCTTGTTTGCTAATTAACAAGCTTTCTCATTTTTTCTTTATACTGCAACTTCTTAAAATCTTTGAGAAAATTTCTTCAGAAATAAGAGTTTTCTCCTAGGATCAGAACCAGTGCTTCATCTCAGTTCCTCTCTCCAATGCAGTGGGGACAGCTCATGTCACATGATTCTGTTGTTCTTCTATGTGCTGTATCCTGTGTTACACTCATCACTGGTGTTGAGATGGGACTCTTGTTGGAAAGATCTCTGGTTGTGGCGGATGCACCTCCTGTCTTCTCAGTTCCCCATGCTGCCACGACCGTCCCGAGCCTTGGAAGTCAATTTGAATAACAGTCGGGAAGACTCTCCCAAGAACACATTTATCTGAAAATGCATCTGTTATTATTATTATTATTAACTACGTATTCCAGAAGAGTGAAGCACAATGAAGGTTTTCAAGGTGAAATGAGGTATATTACCTATGGTATTTTGAGACAACCTTTAGCTGTAAAGATGGATAGCATTAGTCCAAGATGTAATGACCATTGTAAGTGAGACATCCTTGGAGAATACCATGTGTGTGAGGCTGTAGTGGCTTCTGTACAGGCTGTGGGTCTCGCTCTCTTACCGTGAATGTGGTCATCAGGTAGAGATGCATAAAATTCCCTATGATGTTAGATATCTATCACATTAGGGCTCTACAGAAGTGACTCCTTCGATTCTGGCAACTTGTACAGGCTTATGAGGACTCTCCTGGTCGAGCAACAAGAAAAGTTCCTTATTCCTTGGAGTCAGGTAAAGTAAGAAATGCTATCCAGTATGCAAACCCAGCCAGGCTGCCACGGTTAGTGCCACTTCCATGTCACACTCACACACTGCATACTTCACTTTCAGTGAGTGTTTGTCACACTCACACATGACATTGCAAACTTCACTTTCAGTGGGTGTTTGTCACACTCACACACCACATTGCATACCTCACTTTCAGTGAGTGTTTGTCACACACCACATCACATGCGTCACTTTCAGTGAGTGTTTAAAAAGCCTTCAACCTGCAAGACTCCTTGACCAGTCTCTGCTTTACTCCCTGTCTTCTCATTGAATTTATCTTAATAACTTTTTAGTTACAATAAATGCTCACAAATTACTTTTATCTTATTGACCTTTTTAGCCTCTTTTAGATAAATATGATGAGAACATACATCACAACTCAGTCAAGTATTCTTCAGTTTTACATTTTATACTTTTAATGCATCAGCTTCATCTAGTCAATGAGTGAGATTCGTGCCTGTCAAAGCCTCTCAAACTCATCACACAGTCAAACACAGTCTGTGAGTGGCAAAGGAATGATAGTGATGTTGGACACGACTTCCCTCTGAGTCCAACAGCTGCCATCTTCAAAAGTTTATGTGTATCAACTTGCAAAAGATCATGACAGCTGGGCTTGTTGACTGTTGACATTCCCTCATAGAAGAAGGGCAAGGTGATGGTTGGTGGATCCTCCCCGACCCTCTAGCATCCCTCCTGGTTTTATCCAGCTATACCCTAATTGCAAGTAAATTCAGTGTTTTGGGGAAGGGGTTAGCGTATATGGGCTGGGGAACATTAAGGGGAGGGATCTCTATGTAGCTATAGGGAAGCTTCCATCCATGGCGGGTAAAGACTTTTGCAGTACAGTTGCTTTGGTGATCAGTCTTGCTACTGTCGATAGCCTCGCACCCATGCTCTGTATTTAAGCCCAGGAAACTCATTGGGTCCCCAGTAGGAGCCGATAGAATTGAACTCTGGTTTGCCATTGGAATCTTACAAAGACATGGTGGAATATTCCCCAACCCCTTGACAGGGAGAGAATTCTCACAACCCTGTTCCAATGACAGAAGTTCTGTCAGTTGGGATGTTGGTCATTACTCACAGTGCATACATAGGCTGTGTGCTTGTTTAATGCTATTTTAATATTTCCCCATAACTTCAGAAAACCAGAAATAGCAGTGCAACCTCACAGGATGGTTGAGAGATGTGGTGCTTTTCACGTGATTACTTCCATCTGGCTTTGCAGAGTTCTCACTTAGCCCTGCTCTCCTTCCCCTTTCTGCATTCCTTGCTCTGCACAAAGAATCTCCCCTTTGTCTTTACAAGACTTTGAAAGTGCTTTTATTTTTCGGCAGGATTATGTGTATTGTACATGACACATTTCAGTCATTCCACCCCTCTTTGCCTTCTCTCATAACTTCCCTGTTCCTGCTCAAGCTTCCTTCAGCCTGACAATTCCCAGCCTTCCGCTCACGTCTTCTTTTGTGTTTGAGCCACTGAGTTTAGCCGTAGTTTTCTACGTGAGCACAGATGGGAAGTCGTCAGTGGTCAACCTATCAGTGGCCACATCACGGAAGAAAGTCACGTCTCCTGCCTCCACCATTTACTGTCAGCTGTCTTCCAGGAAGGAGCAGGTGTCACAAGCGCTTCTCTCTCCCATGATGCAATAGCGACAGATTCAAACTTGTGCAAGCCTTGTGCGGGTAACCACAGCTCTAGTGAGCTCATGAGTGAGTGAAGCGGCTGCTTCGTGTCCAGGAGATGTCTTCTGCAGAGCATCTCCCATCCCCTTTCTTAAGTGGGTGCTATGGATGATTCCCATAGGACTGACTCTTTCCCTGTCTCTTGTTCTCTGCACTGATGCTCATTACAGAAAAAAGGAAGGATGTTATTCTTTTTCTCCAGCTGAACATAATTAATAATTTAAACTGGTTTGCATTTTTTAAGATTCTCTGACAGTGGTTTTATTTCTTGAATTAGTACAATATTATTTTGTTCTTCTCAACTAAAACTATTGGCCTTGATCTGGGCTTGTGAAAATAGGGATGACTGAAATCAACGGAGAACATTTTGTATGTGAGAAAACACTGTGCAAAGCATGCTGGGTATGAACGAGTGAGACGCTGGCAGAATCTCATTATATTGAGAACCTCCTAACACAGGCACACTCCCTACAAGCAGAGAATGAGAGTATGCGCTTGGAAAGGGATGTGCATCATAGACCATCTGCCAAGAGAGCAAAGACTGTTGGCAACCTCATGCTTTTGTACAAGCGAGGACAACATGCCTCTGCATGCCCATTGCCAAGATAACTAGTCCTTAAGCGAAAGGACTTCACATGCCTTTTGTCACAATGTCCATCTTAACCTCACCAGCTAATTGAGGTAACCAACAGTTATAGGTAACTGGCTTTGCTCAGAGAGAGAGAGAGAGAAAAAAAAGTTTCTCAGATTCTTATGACAGGAGGCAGTTTTGCAATTTGGAGTCATCCATACAAGTTAGGCTCCTGCCTTTCCACAGAAAGAGAGGGAGGGAGGGAAGAAGAGAGAGAGAGAAGTTCTAGTTTCTAAAATAAATGAATTAAGGAAAGGGGGTGGAGAAGAGGAGAGGAACCGTCTGTTACTTTCAATAGGGATAAATAAGCCTCCTCGTTAGCTTCTGAGACAGTGAGTGGCAGATGAGAAATGAGTGGGTCATGGGTCAAGAAGCCAATCTGTGCTCCCTGGGTGGGGTGGACCTTGAGGGGAAGTCTCAGGAAGTTCCACAGGAAGGCTGACTGTGGGTTGCGTGGGTTGATTCCTATGAACCTGGTAAGTCTGGCTCAGGGGACTGTGAGAGCCAGCTTCTCTTCTTTGGTATCTATTGCCATAGAAACAGGTACTATTGGGCCTCAGCACTCTGAGTAGGAGCTAGGGTTCCCTTTTGGCAAAAGGTTTGGGGAGTAAGGGAAGGGAAACCTGAAGGCAAAGCTGATCTCCCCTCTTCTACCCTTCTCTCCTTTCTTCCTTCTTATCTTCTTTCCTCTCTTTCCTAACCAAGGAGTGGCTAATGTCCGCACGTACTGTTTCGCAGGCGTTTCCTAAACAATATCAAAGGATCATAAGTTCATGTTTGCACGCATTTATCTTCCACTTCTGAAAACTTCCTGGTTAAGCAGATCTGGCAGTGAAGTGTTATGGCACAGTGAGTTGATTTTTAAATTAATCATGTTTCAGTTGACGTCCACGGGGTATTTATATATATCATTGGGCTTTGCTTGTAGAGATTTTTAAAAAGAAACTCTTGTTTTTTTTTTTTTAATGATTAAAGTAAGTCTCTCTCTGTCTCTGTCTCTCTCTGTGCATGTATGTGTATGTATTCTTGCACACAAGCATGTAAGTGATGGGGTGGTCAGGGTGGCAAGGTTGAGAATAACCCTTCCTGGTCCATGGAACATACTGTACTATAGACCTGGGATGATTAATTTGTATGTCTGTCTGGCTAGATCATGCTAGCCAATTGTTTGGTTCAATGGTATTCTAGATGTAGCTCGCAGATGGCCTGAAGATGTGATAATATGTTATAAAGTAAGTTTTTAGTGCAGCACACTGGTTGCTCTACTTCAAGTGGCCTTGTGCAAGCAGCCAAAAGGCTCATGAAAAGAGATGAAGTTCTCTGGAGAGCAGGACGCTGTCCTTCCTGACTTCCGGTGGAACACAATGTGACAGATGAAGTCTTTCCCCAGCCTTTCCCTGTTGAGCTGCACTGAAGATTTTGGACTTTCCATGATGGTGTGAGATAGTTCCTTGAAATAAATAAGATGAATTTGCTTTGGTCCATACACTCACACCTACAGGGCTTCTGGTTTTCTGAAGAACCCCAACTAGAGCAAAATTCTATAGGGTAAGGGGCTTCCATGTTCTTTGCCTTTGGAGCTCTGGTACCTGTTACCAGACACATTCTAGTGGCCGATTGGACCAGCATTACAAATGAATAAATGTGGACTTGGATAAGTATGGGAGCTGCAACTTTCTATCTTATTTTCACTTTAAACAGTTGAGAAATCACATTTCAGCTATGGGCGTAGCACTTCTGCTTGCACTATTTTTTAAAAAAAATTTTAAGGATATTTTAAAATTAAAATGTAATTACACAGTTTTGCTCTGCGACTTTTCCTTCCTCCAACTCCTCCCACGACACACCCACTTCCCCTCAAATTCTTTTCAATATCTTATTGTTAAATATATATTCATAAATATGTAAGTACAAGTACAGTCTGCTGACCACTTGGTATTAGAAAATCAATTAGGGGCTCTTCTTTGGGAAGAGACTGCGGCTCTCAGTCTCTCTGTAGTTCTTACTTTCATGCTGGTTATTTATGTGGGGATGGAGCCCCATGAAGTTTATCCCTTCCACATGCCTGGGAAGTTGGGGTATTTGCCATCAGGAATGAAAAGGGGGTTCAGACAAGGCAAGGAGCTGTTCCAACAAGGATGTCCTGGGAAAATGTCTTCCTCAGACACCGGAATGGTTGTACTGGGTCCAGCTCTGAGCAATGAGCTCCAGAGGTGTCCTTCCACTGGGGTAAGGACTCTTTCCCCAACAAACATGCATGTTTCAAGAAGATGTCAATGCATTTTTATACTTTTGATGTTTCTTTACAATGAAAGCTAGATACTTCTATTGGGTTACCACCCGCCCCATGGCAGTGCCACTAGGAATCCAGATGAGTAATTGGATGTTGATTCCTAGAGATGTAACCAGAATGAAACAGTTAGAGGGTTTAGTAGGCAACATTCTCTAGATAAATAGACTCAGACCTACAGATATCAACCAGAAGATGTCTGTTTCATTTTGTTATAAGAAAATATCTGAGGCTGGGTGTTTTATAAAGATCATATTTAAATAATCAAAGTTAATAGTTAAAGAGAATCAAGAGCTGGTCCCGAGGCATCAGTTTAGATCTGTTGAAGACCCCATGGTAGGTACACAAACAGGAGTCAGTATGGTAACAAGGCTCCAAATGGCTTACTAGAAAGTCAGAGAACAATTACTGGAACTGTGTTAGTCTTTTATAGGGGCATGCTCCTAATGTTCTTTTCACCTCCCATGGTCCCATCTCCAAAAGGTCACATGTCTTCTTAACCTTGCTGTGCTAGAGACCAAGATTCCAACACGTGAACCTCCAGAGAGCTTATGCCATGCCAATAGATTTAGTGTGGGGATGCTCTCTTGATTATGGAGGCTGAGTGGTCTGATGAGCTGCTCTTTGGAAACTAGAAAACCGGGAAAACGGGCAGTGTCAGTGTGGATTACCTTAGATCACTGCTTTGTCTTCGTTCCCCTTTGAAATTCCCGTAGTAATCATCTCCAGGTTGTTGCAACATTTGGGCACATGACAGCACACATGTGTGAGACTACTGGTTCAGTGAACTTTGGATAAAAGGTTAAATTTGAGTCAGGCAGCAGCCCACTTGTGGTTCACCGCCAGACATGATAGGATGTCTTTTTATATCCACTACGCACTTTCTAGAAGTCTTTTTTTCCCCCTATGACTTTTGGAGTGGTCAATGGAAACAACCTGTAGGTGCCATTCCTGTGTTGAATCAGTCCTGTAATCAGGATTAAGCCTAGAAATATATGGCTGATCAGATCTAGATCAGATGTGGAACCTTAAGGTAAATAGTCAATAAAAAATTGGAGATTATGTAGTAATAACACGATCAAAAAAATTATTTTATTTTGATTATCTTGAACTTAACCCGACCTGGAATCATCAGGAAGAGGGTCTCAATGAGGGACTACCTACATTGGGTTGGTCCAAGGGCATGTCTGTGCAGGATTGTCTTAATTAAGTTAATTAAAGTGGAAAAACAGCCTACTGTGGGTGACAGTGTTCCTTCAGCAGTGGGATTCTGCACTATGTAAGAGTGGAGACAGAGATGGACATGAGTAACGGAGGAACAAGTGTATATGCATGTGTTCACTTCTCTGTGCATACATGTGCCCTTGACTGTGCATGTGTTCACTTCTCTGTGCATACATGTGCTCTTGACTGTGCATGTGCTCACTTCCCTGTAAATACATGTGCTCTTGACTGTGGAGGTGATATGGATGGCTGCTTGAGGTCCTTGTCTTGGCTTCCTATGATGATGATTCCTCGCTAGCAACTTGAGCAATCTGGAATTAACTAAAACCCAAGTGGCTGCATTCACTTGTGAGGGATTTTTGAAGTGGGAAGGCCCACTTCTAATCTGGATCTTTGAGGTGGGAAGATCCACCTTTAATCTGGGACACACCTTCTGTTGACAGCCTATATAAAGTTCATGGAAGAAGGCATCTTTCTGTCTTTGCTTGGTTAATCTGGCTCTTGTTGGCAAGTCTGTTCCTACCCTGGCATTATAGGCTACTTCCTTGGTTTTGCAGTGTCTACTGAAGACCAGCTGAGACATCTAGCCTTGTGGAAATAACAACTACTGGATTCTTGGACATTCCATTGGTAGACAACCATTGTTGGACTAGCTGGACCACAGCCTGTAAGTCATTCTAATAAATCTCCATGAATATGATATTATATGTAGAAATATATATATATATTCTGTTCCTCTAGAGAACCCTAGCTAATACACTTCCCTATGATTGAATTTAAATTGGAATTATAAGATCAAATAACCTCTTTAATCCCTAAATTGTTTTTGTCAGGATATTTTATCACAACAGAAATTATGTTAGATATTCCTAAGCATGACTGACCAGGACTAATTCAGAGCTGACAAGAGCTATGGAGTCAATGTACCTCCCCCAAATTCATGTGCTGAAGTCCTAGTCCCCAATGGAGCTATGCTGGAGGATGGATAGGGATTTTAAAGAAGTACTTAAGGTTGAATGAGGTAATGAGAGTAGGATCTTAACACAAAATATCAGTGCCCTAATAACGTGTGATGTAGCTGTTTCCTCTGGGCATCATAGAACAGAGATCAGTATAGTGACCTGTGGTCCTGTTGCAAGGAGGACCCACTTGTTTGTCCCAGCTGCCCAGCTAGCTTAGCCCTGAAATAACCAAACAGAAACTGTATTAACTAAATCTCTGCTTGATCCATTAGCTCTAAACTTCTTATCGGCTAACTCTTAAATTAATTTAACCCATTTCTATTAATTTGTGTATTGCCACATGGCAATGGCTTACTGGGTAAAGTTTGGCATGTCTGTCCCTGGCGCCTCTATGGCTTTTCTCTCTGACTCTGCCTCCTTTTTCCCAGCATGCCATTTAGTTTTCCCTGCCCACCTAAGTTCTGCCCTATCAACAGGCCCAAACCAGGTTTTTTTTTTTTTTAAATAATGTCAATGAAAGCCACACAAAGACAGAAGGCCCTCCTACACCAGTGACCAAGAGAATAGCCTTACCTTGAAGTCATGGAAACTAAGTAAACAAAACAGGAGAATGATCCGCTGGTGATGGGACCATGAATTCCTTCCTAGGGGTAGAGGGAGGAGGGTCATCAGACCCGCCCCTGAGATTCTAGCTGCCACTTCCTCCAGTCTTCTGCTACTTGTGGTCCTGGGCTGCCAGAAGATGTAACAGACGGAGGATTAACTGGGGATGGGACTTCCATGATGTAGCTCTCATGAGCTGTCTCCCTTGTTGGGGTGGGATTTTTTGGTAACATCTGCTTTTGAGTCACTGTGCTCCTGCAGCTAACCACAAGGAAACTCATGACACCCACAAGCTGGACCTGAGTAGAATTGTATCTTTAGTCTGTCAGTACTCCATGTGTGATGGACACGTGTCTCTTCAAATCTCCATCTCCCCAAAGTAGCACAACAGAAGAGGAGGTACCACATACTAGGCATTATTTTAGGAGCTTTACACACATCAATGTGTTGGGTGATTTTTTTTTCAGGGACATATAAATTAACATCTGCCTCAGACTTGGATAGCACCAACAGCCAAAGCATGATTCATACACGTTCATCTTGATGAGTCAAGTTGGTTTATTAGGAACTACTTACAGAGTTGCTGCTGACTAGGAAGACTTAACATTTCCTCCAAAGCTGCCAATCTCCCCCACCATCCTGCCTGTCATGCTCTTATTTTACATAGCTCTAAATCCACAGCAGAATTAACGAAAACCTGGATTTAGAGGCTGCCTAATATTACAAAAAGTCCATGCGACTACAAGCTCAGATTTGAGACACAGAAACTCGGACTCTGGGAAAGTTACATGCTCATGGGTGTTCCATACTTACCTTTAACCAGGGATTCTGCTAATCTCAGAACACATTGGCTACAGGAAAGATGGTGCATGTGACTGCCATCTGTCATGTAGACCAGCTCACTACAAGATGGGGTTAGGATTTAGAGGTCTGGTATTACTACATAATGTAGTGTTTAATTCCCCCAAAATATCATTATCCCCACTTCACAGATGAAGAAACCAACCAGGCAATGAGAGACTAGTAACTTCCCCACAGTTACCTCCTGTCTAGAGACAAGCAAACCTTCTCTCCAGGGACTACCCCTTAGTAATATTGAGCATTAAAATTAGTATGAAGAAGTTGATAACATAATTTTCCTGAGTAATCTGCTTTGACTAATAATCTCATTTTGGAGTATGCCAATTTTTTTCCCAAAAAACTTTCTTATAATTTTGGTGTCCCCTCCTGCTATGACTAAGAACCTAAACGTCCCCCAAAAGTCATGTGTTGAAGGCCTGGTCCCCAGGTGCTGCCACAGGAGGTGGTGGGACCTTGAAGAGGTGAGCTGCTCTACAAGAAAGTAGGTCGCTGTGGGTGTCCCTCTGAGCGGAGACTTTGGGACCCTGCTCCCCCCTCTGTCTTTGATTCCTGGCAGCTATGAGACGAGCAGTTATGCTCTGCCACGTTGTCTCTGCCATCATGCTTCGCCTTCTCACAAATCCCAGAATAGTGGTGCCTGCCGGCTATGGGTTGAAGGCTCTGAAACCATGAGCCTCGATAGCATATTCTATGAAGATGGTTGGTGTTGCAGGGGCATTTTGGCGATGGAAAGCTAACTGACTTTTCCGTGAAGAAGATGCCTTGTGTGCATATGACCTACCTCCTCTGCAGGGCAACCAAGTGCTTCTGTGTAATGCAGACCAGTCTTTCCTAAAGCTGACTGGTTTCGGTGTCATTGTGCATTTGGACAGGGGAACTGATGCCCATTTTAGCCAGCATGGACAGCAGAGTCTACATCCAGAGTTCTCTCCTCAATGTGGGCAGATCTGTGTGTTTCTTTCTTGTGTGCTTCAGAATTGCTTAAATATGTGCTAACACTCATTGCCCTAGAGATTTCGTTCAGAAAGCTTTCATTCATTGGGCACACACCTAAGACTTTCTTCTGGAAAAGTTAAGGGTAACATCCATCTCCCTGGTAGAGAATGGTTGTGGTGTTGGTTTTCAGGTTTTCATGAGTAAGGTTAGAGTTCTTGAATAGATCCATGGACTCTGCGGTATTCACCTCGGCCTCCTGTGATCTTTCTCCAAGACAGTCAGGGAGTAGAGGGAACCTACCCATGAAAATACGACTCTCATGTTGCCTGATATGTTGTAATGCATTGTGTAAACAACGACAACAATTAACAATGAAGAAAAGCATCTTGGGAGGGGTCTGACAGTTTTCATTCCTTCAGTTACTCAGTGGTACCCATGTGGCAAGCCCAGGGCAGCACTCTGAGGACATGGTCTTAGGCTGTGTTCCTGAAGCCTGTGCCATAGACAATCCAAAGGGCTCCCAATATACACCTGCTCCTAGTAATCTAATACTAGGTGAAGGGACCCCACATAGTGGGGTACTCCCTCCTAGATCTTGGCACAAACCACTCCCAAAGGTCTATTTTCACAGAGAGATCCTTTATTAAGCAGGAAAAAAAGTGAAGTGGCTGGTTTCTGGCTCAGAAATTTCTCTGAGGCAGAAACAGCAGAAAATGACCTTGCAGGTATGATTTTTAAGAAGAGAAAGGGGAGTCTGAGTTAGAACGGGCTAGGATTCGGTGGTGTGTTTTGATTGGGCATGCTAATTAGGGTAGCCAAAATAGGGGCCTTTGACTACCAGACTTCCATATTTTGATAGTCAGACCTTGGTGTTTAGCCTAGGGATGAGCCTGGCGTAAAAAGGTGTCTAAATAAAGGAACAGACCTTTGTGGCTAACTTTAGGGGTGTTACCTATGGTTTACAGGGAGAGGGAAGGGGGAAGGGCAAGGCCTGCCTCTGCCATTTTTGCAGTGCTCTGGCCTGCTAGAGCCCTTCACCAGGAGAGGAAGAAAGACAATCTGCAATGTCTCTTACTCTTTTCCTGTTGGACTGGCACAGTGTGGGAGTCAGAGTTGGAATATTGTAAAAACCAGTCACCAGTTAAGAGCCCTTCCTGCTCCCCTGGAGTAATGTTGAGATCTCCATTTAGAGCAGAGCCTCCCACGTCCCTCATTCTCAACAGTTCCAGCAGTTATGCCTCACTATTTCTCATTGCCATCAATGCGAAGCATCTTGGACTGTCGACACATTTTGAAGCAGTCAAAAAAGACGAGAAAAGACAAGAGAAAGTAACAGCAATAACAGCAAAGCCACTACTTCAAATGAGAAGTGTGGGAAACGGAAATACAGAATCGATTTTTAACACATGAACTCTAAGTGCTAGGGAAGCTTAACTTGCAGTTCAACTGGCCAGTGCATGCAGGAACTGAGCTGTGCTCTGTCTCATCCGTGGAGGTCTTGCCCAAGCTCGGTGGCTCAATAGTGGTATCTTTCACACAAGGAAACTAAGCCTCCCTTGGCTAGAATGGGCTTTTCGTTCTTGCCTTTGCTGAGGAGCACTGATGGGGTTTGTGGGGGTTGCTATGTCAGATGAGAGTCCGTGTGGAGCCAACACTTTGTAGACCAGCCGGAAACTAGAAGGAAAACAGAGATGGGAACAGCCTTAAATGACCCCCACCATGGATAATCTCAGGGGCTTCAGACCCTTTGTTCTTCTAAACTGCCAAATGAATGCTATGCCAGCGTTGGCAATAGCAGACAACAGTTCTGTCAAGGTCCACAGACCCATTTGGGAACAGAGAGCACCGCGATGGGAAAGCATCTGTCCCAGCAAAGGTTGGGAGTGTTCTGGGGGTGGAGCCTGGGGTCCAGGGGACTTTTTTAATAAGAAGGAGAGATTCAAGTAGGTTGTGTGGACACAGAATCCATAGGTCTGGTCTTGGAAAGTGGAGAGAGGTCTCCACTCCGGCTTATCTGCAGCAAGCCTTCTGCAGTGACCGTCTCTGAACAGTTACAGTCTTACAGAGTGTCAAACTTCACTACACAAGTGTGTGCATACCTACACGTACACACATCCACACATATATAAATACATACACTCATATGTAATAATACACTCATATAACCATACATACATATACACAAGCATGTACATATAGCCATATATAATACACACAACCACACATCGTTCCCATGGTATACACTTCAGGCATTAAGCCTTTCAGCATGTTTTCAAAGAATTTGATATTGAAACACCTGGAGTTT